TTTGGTTTACTTCAGTTTCTTAAAAATGAAGAAACGAACAAACAAAAAGGGCAGCATTCTCATTTAACTGCAGTCTCTAGCAGTAATTCAGTAACATTGAGGCTGAAAGCCTTTCTCATTACAAATCAAATGCATCATCTGGTGATGTGTCTAACTCCTGATGCCAACTTTAGTATAATTAAGAATGAAAACCCCATAAACATCAAGAAAAATGACAGTGTCAGTTTTAATGACCCTCCAAACAGTGATTCACTAATTAAGTGCTCATTAGGAATTAGGAAAATGAACTCATCTTGGGATTCTTTTAAAAAAAAAATTTCGTTATTTTTATTTTATGTGTATGAGTGTATTGCCTACATGTATATAACTGCACCCATGTCGTGCAATGCCCGCAGAGGTTAGAAGGCGTTGGATCCCCTGGAACTGGAGTTATGGACAGTTGTTAGCCACCATGTGGATGCTGGGAAGTGAACCTGGGTCTTCTGCAAGAGCAGTCAGTGCTCTTAACTCCTGAACCATCTCTCCAGCCCCCTCATCTTGAAATTTTAGAAAGATATACTCATCCTGAAAAGGAATTTTAGGATTCCTTTAAACTAAGATTTCATTGGTGATCTATATATGTAAAACCTGACCCCTTATTCTAAGCTTGATGGCTCACTAAATGACAACCACAATGGCAACTGGCCTAAAAGAAAACCCAGTCTCTGAAGCCTTTCTACCTTGCTCTCAGGGGCACATTTCAAAGCAAGAACCATCATTACCTGTACAGAAGGCTCCTGCTGTCCCAGAAAAGATCTTACTCAGAGATTACTGTGAGTACTCAGTGTGCCAACTCAGTACTCTTACAAAAACAGTCTGTTCATCAAAGTATTTCTGCCTGGAGGAGCAGATTTACATGTTTCTAACAAGGTATGAACAGGAGACCAGAACTGACTGAGGTTAGAAAGTTTTAGCTATTTTAATTTAAACAGGAACACCCTAACAAACTTGGACCAGTGTATTTTACTTAGATAATGACATTCATTGCTGAAGGAAAAAATTTAGTGGTCCCAATACTTTTAAAAATGGGATTTTTTTAATAAGTTGTTTTAAGAAGCAGGGTGTGTGGCCACCAATATGGCTCAGCAGGTAGAGGTGCTTGCCACCCAAGCCTGGGGACTGTGGTTCCATCCCTGGAACCCATGTGGGCCTCATGTGGGGGTGGAGGAAAGAACCTGTTCCACAAAGTTGTCCTATAACCTCCACACAAGTGCCATGGCATACAATCCCCACACACATCATGCACACACCCACAATAATAATAAATAATGTTTTAAAAAGCTGAGTGTGGTAATCTCATCACTCAGGAAGCTGAAGCAGGAAGGTTGCTTTGAGTTTTTTTGTTTGTTTGGTCTTTTTGAGACAGGGTTTCCTTGTAGCCCCAGCTGGTCTGGAACTCGCTATGTAAACCAGGCTGGCGTTGAAATCGTTGAACTCACAGAAATCCACTTGCCTCTGTAAAGACGTGTGCCACCATGCCCAGTGTTGCTCTGAATTTGAGGCCAGCCTGGGCTACACAGAGGGTGCCAGGCTAGCCAGTATTATATAACACAGCAAGACCCTGTCTCAAAAATAAATAAGGGCTGGTAAAATGGTTCAGTAGGTAAGGGCACTCCCCACCAAGACTGACAAATCTTAGTAGAAGGTGAGAACCAACTCCTACAAGTTGTCTTCTGACTTCCATATGAACTCCACCGACTGTGTCTTTATGTGTCCTCCTCCCCAAACCCGCCAAACAAACAAACGTAATTTTTAAATTTGTCTTTAAAATTTTTAATTAATTTAATTTTATGTATACGAATATATTGCCTCCATGTATGTAAGTGCACCCGTGTCATGCAATGTCCTCAGAGGACACAAGAGGGCATCGGATCCCCTGGAACTGGAGTTCCGGACCCTTGCTAGCTGCCATGTGGGTGCTGGGATTCAAACCTGGGTCCTCTGCAAGAGCAGTCACTGCTCTTAACTGCTGACCCATCTCTCCAGTCCCTATTTATTATCTTTTTAAAAGTCTCCTTGTAGCCCCAGCTGGCCTGGAACTTGCTATGGTAGGCCTGACTGACCTTGATCTCACAGAGATCCACCTGCCTCTATCTCCCGAGTGTTGGGATTAAAGTCATGTACCACCATGCCTGGCTAAGTTTTTATTTTAAAAAGTGAGTAAATAAGATGGGCTCCATGGTTCACAGCTATAATCCCAACACTTGAGAGGTTGAGGAAGACTGCCATGAGCTTAACTGGTGCTTGGACTACAGAGTAAGACCCTGTTTTAAAGAAGTCTCAATATTTTTTTAAAGAAGTGTTTTAGGCAGCTCTTTCTATACAAACCTACCACAGTAATTTAATAATGAAGATGACAAACAACACATGATAAAATCTCACTAGATCTACACAAAGAGACAGAGCTGCTCCCAAACTTTATTCAGCAGAAAATGTTTATTAAGGGTCTACAATGTACTAGCACCTCCAGATGTCTCCAGTAAACACAGAGTGAACAGATTCCCCAACAGCAGCTCCCTGAGTGGGAGTCCTGACTCCCTAACATATAGCTAGCTGGCTAGGATACTGGTGCCAAGGCCTAGATGAATGCCTCACATAGAGAAAACAATGTGTTCTTGAGAAATAACCACGTTCAACAGTTTTTAAATCTGTCTGAAATTTAGTTCTGGTACACTGCTTGCTTAGCATGCGCTGAGGCCCTGGGCTCATTCCCTAGAATACCACATACACACAAAGGCTTCTTTAACATATAATTTAGCAAAATCGGGAGAAGTTTTTTTTCTTTTTTAATCCACACCGGTATCATTCTTTCAGGGGCATATCGACAAGCTTTGACAGTTGGAATTTCATATCTTCTGCCTGTACCCCATATTGCTGGTTATAATGGAAGCTATGGCAAAGTCCACTGTGATAATGGATGTAAAAGCCTCTTGAAAAATACAGAACAAATTCCAAATGAAAACTGGCAGTAAAGAGGTTCAGAGGTTAAGGCATGTTAAACTTGAAGATGTGTCAACTTCATTTTGATCAGAGGTTAAGAATTCCAAACATAACTCCAGATGTTTGTGTGTATATCTCAGTAGATTAAGGCACTGCAACTGGTTCTTCCTGACAAGTCTTCCATGGGTGGCAGGGGAGGTGGATGTGTGTTTCAAGATGGACTAAGGCACTGGATGGAACAGAGCCATAAAAACAGCAATCCTGTGTTAGTGTTTCAGTTCAGATGATCAAGTTTCTATTGTGTGTGTTACATATGATGTTGGATACATGAGATACCAGTGAGATGCCAGCCTATCCTCTAAACCCTTGAAGATTTGGCATGCTTCTTAAATAGGGAAAAGTCTCTTGCCTGGATTACATAAACTGCTTTCATACAGAGAAATGCTGCAATTGCATGGTGGTTGTTCTATTAAAGTATCAAAGTAGGTCATCAATCCTTATGGGGAAACTCTAAAATAGGTTAAAATTTGTCACAAACTAGTATTTTGAACATGGAGAAATGTGATGACAAACAGGTACTGTAGGCGCTAAGTAGCTTCAACTATAGAAGCTCAGGGATCCATTGGAGCTTAAGTCGTTGTACATTAAAAAATAGAGACTGACACAGTGTGGTGGCACAGGTCTTTAATCCTAGCAGTTGGGAGGCGGAGGCAGAGGCAGAGGCAGGCGGATCTCTGTGAGTTCAAAAGGAGGCTGGTCTACATAGCAGGTTCCAAGCCAGCTGGGGCTACAGGAAGACTGTTTCAAAAAGACCCCCCCCCCAAAAAAAAATTAAATAAATAAAAATAAAGTCTGGAAGAAAAAGAAAAGAAAGCACCATTTCTCCAAAACGGTGCTTGTCTTTTTTCTTCTTCAAATGAGTCATTCAAGTCCACATTCTTTTTTTCTGCCAAGTTCAGTGGTAGCATCGCAGGCATTTAATAGTCAACTAAATGAGATGTTAATTTTCACTACAGTTTAGAGCTGAAATAACATTTATACAGAACAACACAAACAGGATGCTTGAAAGAATTCCTGAGGATTGTTCGGTATGGTAGCTAAGAATGCTTGTCAGAGTGCGAAGTGGAGCCCCCAGCTTCCCCACCAGTCCCCTACAGCATTTAATGTTAATGGGAGAATTAACTGAGCACCTGTGTTAAGGACCTAACAGTGGTCCCCAATTTTAAACTACTGCTGTGACGATGTAAAGGAAGGGGCCACTGGCTTCGGATTGAGGACGCTCTGAGATTGTTCTCTGGAGACACCCTAAGCAAGAAAACAAACCAAAGCAAAACTCTGAATCGAAAACTGGAGTTCAAAGAGACGTGATGGAACTATCCTCAATTTCATCTGGCATTTGGTAAACTGTGCCTAAGTAATCAATAGAACAGTTTAACACCCAACTGGTTGTTGTGAACTGAGATAGTAAGGGAGAGAAAGGGTCTGACCAGTGTGTACAGGCGCCTCATTCTGAGCGTGTGGGATCAAAACCCCTCGCTCCCATATTTGGCTTTAGGGAAGCCACTTGACCCATTTGGAAATGGAATAACACAACCCACTCTCGCAGCACTACTCCCCCCCATCAACTGCCGCGGCTCCCAGATCCTGCGGGCCGGGAAGACGCGGGAGGACTGACAGGGGGCAGACAGCCTGCCCAGGCCCCGCTACTGGGGTGCCAGAGAGCGGCACGCTGGTCGACCCCTCGGCCTCGGAGGACTGCGTCGAGGATGAAGTGGGCGCATCCGCGGAAAGCGCTTTCTTAAAGAGCCGGGCATTCACGCGGGCGCGGGGGGGCGGGTGCCTCGCATCCGCAGGGCCCCGCACCGGCTTCCTGCGGCCGAGATGGGCGGATCCGCCGCCAGGTGCGTGCGATGCGCTCCCTGCCCCGCATCCCCGAGGCGACCCACGGCTCAAGCAACTTCTAGCACTTTCTCACCTGCTGCCTCCCGGCCCCACCCGCACGACCTCGCCCCCGTCCTCACCTTGCTGCAGGTCCCGGTGGTCGTACCACGGCTCGTCCTCCTTCATCTCAAACTCCTCCACCAGGTTATCCGCCAGCATGTCGCCGGGGGCTTCCGGGGGCAGCGGATCTCGCCGCCGCCCCGCCTCGGCCGCTGCCCCGGGCTGTCCCCCGGCCCCGCCGCCCTCAGCCAGAGCCGCCCTCGGGCGGAACGCGCCCCCGTCTCAGTTCCCCTAACAGGTACCGCCGGCGCGCACGGTGCAAGACTCCGAGGACTGCCTTGCGCCGCCCAACGGCCAGCGCCTGGGCGCGCGCCCCGGGTGGCGCCCCGAACCGGCTTCTCACGCCCGCTTCTCACGCCCGCAGTCCGGCCCAACGTGGCACTTTGGCAGAACCCTCCCCGACCGGGGAGACGATTCAAAACCCCGGTGGCGCCTTGACCAATCGTGAGCGGGCCGCTGGTCGAGCGGCAGCGACTTCAACCAATCAGATCTCACCGAAGGCCCGCGGGCCTGAAAGCAGTCAGCCAATAGCGGCGCGGGAAGGAACAAAGAAGGCGGGAAGAGGGGGTGCGGCAGAAAGCCCTGCCCCTTCGTCCGCTTTGCTGCTCCAGGGGCGCCTTTAGGTTCCGGCGTGTAGGCGGCTGTACGCCTGTGGGTCAGCGGATTAGCGGAGTGCATCCGAGGGCCAAGGGCTCCGGCTCCGGTCTCAGAGCCGTGGGCAGCGGCCGTGGCGCATCGTCTTTCCTCCCGAGGGTTTCCGAAGCGGGAAACCTGCCGCCCCGCCAGCCCTTCTCGGCGTTGCCTTTGGTGATACGCGGAGACGCGGGGTCCATCGGGAGTTTAAGGCCGAACAAACGCTACCGAATGATCGCTGCCTCTGCGGAATATCTGAGCCCTCGCCTCCCAGGGGATGATACTTTAAACCGGTGGTCACCCGCTGGGCTTGAGACTCGGGGGCGGGGCCCAGCTCAGTGGCAGCCGCCTCCTGGGGGTGGGGGCAAGTTGCACTCAGTTATACTTAAAATTTTTAAAAGGTTCGTTTCCCGCAAGATAAGCTCCTTGGAGCGGGACTTTGCACTTGGCGGCCAGCGGGGCAGTGTCCGCTTGTCACACACAGCTACATACTATTAACCTGGGGTTGATTTTTCAGCATCCCATAGCCCATACGCGAAAATGCGCAATAAGGTCGGTGGTCTCCACCTGGACGTTCGAAGGTGCAACAGACTGGGACTGTAGGGCGGACAGATACTTTATGTAACAAACCAAAAGAATGGTAACTTAAGGAGGGGAGAGGGGTAAATACTCTTGTGTTGCAGAGAGAGGAGAGCGATGCTACTTGAAGATGATTCTGTCAACTTATTCCCATAGATAAGGCTAGTGCTACCTGAAGAACTAAAATAGAAAGCAATTAAGTTTGCCTTGTCTGAAAATAGGTGAGAGTTGGGCTGGAGTTTCATGGTATACATTTCTGTGGCTTAAAAAAAATGTACAGGGCTCAGGGGTTAAGAACACTGGCTGCTCTTGCAGAGGACCCAGGTTCAATTCCCAGCCCCTACATGGTAGCTAACAACTGTAGGTAACTCCAGTTCCAGGGATGAGACGCCCTCTTATGACATCCGCAGACATGGCATGACACAAGTGCACTTACATACATGCAAAACACCGCACTCATACACATAAAAATAATATATATATTTTTTAAAAAGAACGTTTAAAAAACATGTACACAGATTACTGTGGTTAAAATAGAAATTTTTAGGAAGGAGTTACAAAATCTCATTAGAGTTACTTTTTTTTTTTTCTCTAAATGAATAATGTTTTGGGTAATTCGGAAAAAGGAAAACACCCTAATTTCTTTTTTTTTCAGGGCTAAGACCTAGGGCCTCATGCATGCTGGTTAACTGTCTACCACTGAGCTCCACCTCCAGCCCATTCATATTCTTGTGGCACAGAAGTCTTCTGCTTTCCATCCTTGCTCAAATCACTGTAACCTTACCCTGATGCTCCTGCTCTTGAGAGAGGTCTTGACAAGGACCAGAACACCTCTCCATTGTGAGTTTTGTTTTTGACAGAGTCTTGCTGTGTAAACCAGGTTGGCATCAAACTCAGAGATCCACCTGCCTCTGCCTCCCAAGGACTAGAATTAAAGACCGGCACAACTACGCCCTGTTCTGTTTGTGAAGTAGTTGCCGGGAGGTTTTGTTTTTATTTTTGTTTTTCCCCTTTAATCCTTAAGGACAACTTAATTGAAAGTACTAAGGATCCAGAGTTAGAAATGCCAAGGGCTAGTCCCAGTTGGTACCAGCAGAGAAGCCTTCAGCATACCACTTAGGGGAAGATGATCTCTTTGCTCTCAGTTGTGAAAAATCAAAGAAGCAATGAGGAAGTAGTTTGTCTCTACAAAGCTGTGTTGTTTTTGATAATGTTAAGGTGCAGGTACCTATGAACAACTATGAACATCAAAATAATATACTTGCCTTCTTTCTTTCCTTTCTTGCCGCTCTCCCTTCTTTTCTCTTCTTTTTTTCTCCTGTGGTACGGGAGATCAAACAAGGGTCTCTCACATGCAAGGCATGTGCTGAGCTGCAGTCCCAGTCCATGAGTTTCAAAATAAATAATAGTAAAGGATTGCAACCCATTCATGATGAGTCCATAGCGATATAAATAAATGAGAGAAAAGAAAGCTTTTTTCTTATAGGAGAATGCCAACCAAAAATATGAAAGGAGTGACAGGGTTTGGAAGTAATATTAGTGGGGAATGGTGGCATATACCTGTCATCTCAGCACTGGGAGTTAGAGGGACGAGGACTGTGAGTTCCAGGCTAGTCTGGCCTATATAGTAAGACCCTGTTTCAGTAAAACAAAACAAAGCAAAACAAAGTAGAGCAGGTGATGGCTCAGTAGGTAAAGGTGCTTGCCACCTAGCCTGAGGACCTGAGTTCCATCCCTTCAACCCACAAGGTGGAAGGAGAGAACTGACTCCCATAAGTTGAGCTCTGACCTCTGCATGCATGTTGTAGGCCCCCCCAATAAATAAACAAATTTTAAAAAGTAATATTAAAAGGGATGGTCAACTTTCAAGTTCCTTTCTTTTGAATACAAGTACACTAAAAGGCAGGATATTACTGATCAACTCATTACCACGCCTGGCTTTTTATTGTTATGTTGAAAAAAAGAAAACTAGGTCCCCTGTAAAGTCTCTTCTGCACAAAATATCAATATTCAACCAGAAATATTAGTTCAGAGGCAAAATGAAGTAATATGAAAACAGTTATCTTAATCACCACAGACAGAATCCTTTGGAAAGAGAGAAAATTAGGTTTAGGATTTGCTAATGGCAATCTGTAGAAGTCGAAGGTCTAGAATCATGCATCTAACCTTAGTCACTGATCCAAAAGATTCAAAATTCTGGCTGCTTTCTCCCTGACAAACAGAAGCTCGTTTTAATTCCAAACTGGAGGAAAATGTATTGGCATGTTCTTTAACATTTCTCAAAAGAAAGTTTTTTTAAAAAGGAGAAGCAACAAACCCCCATAGACAATGCGTTTTGGGGTGTCACTGGGCTCTTTTTAGGGATGCTATTTTCAGAGACCTATTTTTGTCCTGCAAAAGCCTCAACAAAAATTGCACTGAGAAAAGTGGTTTTAGCCTTGAGAACTAAAAGTTCTTCCTTAGAAGGGTCTCCAGGATTCTTGGGAGTCTACATAAGCCAGAAGCAATCAGCATCTTCAGCAGTATCATTTGGTCTAGAAGCAGGATAGTGGCTAACTATCCAAGTTGATTCTAAACAGAGGGTTTGGGCTGTTCACTTAATGATTTATCAATAGGGAGTGTGCCTGCCCAACCTAATTGTGACAGCATTTTGCTGCTTTTAGTCTCTTCCATACAGAAGATGTTGTGGTGAAGACAGCTGGCTCCTGGCGGTAAAGATGAAACACACTTGTTCTTTTGCATCTTAAAACCATGTAAGGAGAGTTTTTAGATAATAATAACTACTTTAAAAAGATGAGAAAAGGGGGCTGGAGAGATGGCTCAGTGGTTAAGAGCACTGGCTGCTCTTGCAGAGGACCTGGGTTTGGATCCCAGCACTCAAATGGTGGCTAACACCATCTGTAATTCCAGATCCAGGGAATCTGACACCCTCTTCTGGCCTCTGTAGGCACTGCACTGCATGGGTGCACTTACATACATAACACTAAAACATAAAGTTTAAAAAAGATGAGAAGTACTAGGTGTGTTGTGCACACCTTTAGTCCCAGCACTGAGAACTCAGAACTCAGTAAACAGAGGCAGGCAGATCTCTGTGAGATCAGAGCCACTCTGATCTATATAACGAGTTCCAGGTCAGCTGAGGCTACAGGAAGACCCTGCCTCAAAAATACAAAAAAAAAAAAAAAAAAAAAAAAAAAAAAAAAAAAGTGATGGTTTTCAGTTTGACACTGATATTAATGGATCCCTTTTTGCAACATAAGGAAGATATTTTCTTCAGTATGTGAACTAGAGTTCAGACAATAGAGGTTTTCCATAACTGTCAAACCTTGTATCTTCACTTCAGATAGGTTATGCATTTAACTAAAATTATTTGAAAATAATCTCTTTTTTTTTGAGGCAGAGCCTCCTTGTAGCCCTAGCTGACCTGGAACTCACTATGTAGACCAGGCTGGCCTCTTATCTCACAGAGATCTGCCTACTTCTGCCTCCTCAGTTCTGGGATTAAAGGTGTGCACCACCACCCCCTACCTGGAAAAAAAAATTGATCTTAACTTGAGAAATGTATGACATTTTACAAAAATCTGAGTTTGTAAAATCAGACTTAATGATAGAGCAGTTCGAAAAGGCACAGCATGCCTTGTTCTAACATACCTCAAACAAAACAAAAAAGTTCCTGGAATTTGTTGGGCTAAATTTGTGTCTTGACTCTGGGCTCTACCAACTCTCTTGTTTTGGGCTCTCTTAGTAACAAGGCGACCTCTAGCCTCAGTCTTCATTCTAACTTACGCCCAAAGTACATCCCTTGGGTGAAGTCTTTACCAGTAGTTCTAGCTTTTCTAATTTGAGAATTACCTTTTTTTTTGTCTTTTTGAAGCAGGGTCTCCATGTAGCCTCAGCTGTCCTGGAACTCACTAGGTAGACCAGGCTGGCCTTGAACTCATGGAGATCTGCCTGCCTCTGCCTCCCAAGTGCTGGGACTACAGGTGTGCGCTACATGTGTGCGCCACCATGCCCGGCAAGAATTACCTTTTAAAGTCAAAAATGTTGCCTAACACTTGATACTGTAGTACTTAGACTTTTCAAATGTTGAGACTTGCATAACAATGAAAAGAAAAAAACAGATTTGTATTTTATCATTGAAACAGAATCTATAAACATTTAAAGAATACAAGTACAGGGGACTGGAGAGAGTGGTTTTCTCCAGCTCCATGGGATCTATGCCTCTGTTCTCAACAAGCACCCACAGTCATGTGCACATACACCCCCATAATTAAAAAAAATACAAGTATGTTTGCTGCTCCCCGCCAGAACCGAGGGGTAGAGCAGCCCTAGGTGGCCCCTGGGGTAGTGGGGGTACTCGGGGGAGTGGGGAAGAAAAAAATACAACTATGCATAAGGACAAAATGTTTTGCTGCTGTTGTTGCAGCACTAGATATTGAACCGAAGGCCACCCTCCTGCTAGGCAACACTCTACTGACTGAACTACATCCCAAGTTCTGTTTTTGTTTTTGCTTTTTTTGGCGGGGGTGGGGGGTGGGGGGCCAGTTTGAGACAGCTGTAGCCCCAGCTGGCCTAGAACTTGCTATGTAGATCAGGCTAACCTTGAACTCAGAGATCCGCCTGCCTCTGCCTCCCAAGTGCTGGGATTAAAGGCTTGTGCCACCACACCCGGCCACATCCCAAGTTTTAAAGGTAATTCTGGGCTGGAGATGTGGAGATGCAGCTCAGTTGGTACAAAATATTCTTTACTACTAATAGTGTTTCATACGAACTTAACACTTTGTTTTGCTTTTGCTTGTGAGACAGGGTCTCACTTGGTAGCCCAGGCCAGACTCAAATTCATGATCCTCTTGCCTCAGCCTCCAGAATGCTAGGATTACAGGTGTGCACTATCATGTCCAGCTCATTAACCCTTTCTGCTCATTCTAAAGCCTCATAGCCCATACAATTAAGTTCATTCTTTGGTCTACAGGGGGATAAAGTGAAGACAATGAATGAATAATTTTGAGGTTTGAGACACAGTCTCATAACCCAGGCTGACCTTGGGCTCACTCTCTAGCCCAGGCTGGCCTTGACTTCACTTCTGTGAGCCTCCAGTGTCAACCTCTAGAGTGCTGGGATTGCAGGTATGCACCACCACACCTATCTCTGTTTTTTTCACTTTTGGTTTATTTTCAGTTTGGGATACCAATAGCTTGATCATTTGAGCTAAATGCCCAGTTTCCCCTTCTAGCTTGCCTTCCCTCTCCTTAAGAAATTGAGCAATATATTGGAATTGGAGAGATGGCTTAGCAGTAAAGAACACTGGCTGCTCTTGAAGAAGACTGGGGTTTGGGTCTCAGCACCTACATGGTGGCTAATAATTGTCCATAACTCCAGTTCCAGGGGATCCGATGTCTTTCTCTGAACTCTGTGGGCATTGCACAACATGGGTGCACTTGCACACATGCAGGCAATACACTCATATACAAAATTTTTTTAAAAAAAGAAGAAATTGAGCAATATGGACTGAGTTGTCTGCTTAATTTTGTTCCTGAGTCTCCAAGGTTAAAGCAGAGGCCCAAGGATTATTCAGCCAGGTAACATCCTCAGACTGTATGATATTCATTTACTTTCTGATTCGATAAGATTGTATAGAGCTGGTAAACAGTCCAATAAGCCAAGGATAGATAGGAAGATCAGTGGGGTGTAGCAGTACACACCTCAAATTCTAGCACTCTGGGGGCTGAGACAGGACAATTCAGAGTTCATAGCCACCCTAAGCTACAAAGTGAATTCGAGGTCAGGCTAGGTTATATAGCCAGAACTTGTCTCTAAAAAAGAATACCATATCATGGTGCTATCTTTGTTTGAAGTAATATTTTCCTTTTTAAAAGATTTATTTTTAACTATGTGTATGTGTATATGCTTGTTTGAGGCTGTGTGCATGTGCATAACTATGTGTATGTGTATATGCTTGCTCGAGGCTAGAGGAGGAAGTTGGATCCCCTGGAGCTGGAGTTACAGGTGATTATGAGCCATCTGACATGGGTCACCACTAGCTAAGTGTATCCAAACACTCATATGAATCTTAGTTTATAATTTAGAAGAAATATGAACTATACAAGTAAGAACGGCGGGGGGCGGGGTGTGGGGGGTATACCTCAGTTGTCAAAGTGCCTGCTGTGCGAGAATGAAGATGTGAGTTCAATCCCAGCACTCATGCAAAACCCAAAAATGCCAGATGAGTGCCTATAATCCTAGCTCTGGGGAGGCAGAGATGGGAGGATCTCTGGGTCTTGCTAGCCACCAGTCTTGTTGAATAGGTGAGCTTCAGGTTCAGTAAGAGACCCTGTCTCAAAAAGCTAATGTGACGAACAATAGAGAAAGACAATGTTGGCCTTGGTCTCCACATGCACACACACACATCTACATACATAAATATGTGTACATGTATATACCATACATGGTACACATAAAAAAGCATAAGTACAGTCACACTCTGTGCAAATTGGGGCTTATGACAACATCTCAAAAATGTTGAATAATTGTGACTAAGTAGGTAAAGTGTTAAATTGATAACATTTACAGCTACTGATTTTGAACTTTTATTTAAATAAATTAGTGTTGATGGAATTTTACAATATCCATCAACTATTGTATGAAAACAGTGAATTCTAACCTTTTTATTAATGTAGGGACGAAAACTTCTGTGTGGAAAATGATACTTTTAAACATTAAATCCACTGCCTGGGCATACTCTCTGGTATCACTGGGCACTGAAATGCTAAATTCTGTCTTCAATTTCTATTATGTGAAACTTTTCTTGAAACTATATAAGATTTCAGAACTGGCCTTCTATCAGTCTCAGGTAAGATAGAATTTTAAAAAATTTTCTTTTTCTTTTATGCATGTATGTAAGTGTACTGGTGTAGTGCAATGTCTGCAGAGGTCAGAAGAGGGCATTGGACTCCCCTGAACTGGAGTTACAGACAGTTGTTAGCCACCATGTGGGTTCTGGGAACCAAACCCAGATCTTCTGCAAGAGCAGCCAGTGTTCTTAACTGCTGAGCCATCTCTCCAGCCCCAAGATGGAATTTTTAACTCTCTTTAAATGTAGGACAGAGTTTCTTTCCTTACAGTGATGTATTTCTGTCATTTACAAAGAGCAAATTCTTTACATTACTTGTGTTACCAAGAAAAATGTATATAGTGTGGTGGCACAAACCTGTAATCCCAGCACTTGGGAAGTTGAGGCAGGAGGATTGCCAAGAGTTTGAGCTGGTCTGGGCTACATGGAGAGATCCTATCTCAGAAAGGAATGAAGGGAGGGAGGGAGGGAGGGAGGGAGGGAGGGAGGGAAAGGAATGGAAAAGGGTAGAAGGAAGGGGAGGGGAGAAGGAATAAAGAAAGGGAGAGAATTTTTACCTTGAAAAGGGGCATGATGTTGGCAGATTGTATTGTAACATCATAAATGAGCTGAATGGATAGTTTAATGTCTTTAAAATTTTCTCTTATGTTTTATAATGCTCATTTATTACAGACTACATACTTAATGCATCCATTCTGAGTTGGTAAAAATTGATATTTTAATGTTTCCTAGTATAGATATACAAAATTATGTCTTTGCATACATGGCCTATGATTCCATGCAAAAGTATGGCCCTGTGTGCCTGGTGGGAGACGGTCTAGCATAATAGCAGAAAGCACACATTTTGGGTTCATTGCTTTGATTCTGACATTGGCTCTGTTAATTAATTAACTAGGAAAGTTCCTTAAGCTCTCTGTCCTCAGTATCCCACTTTGTAAGTCGGGAATAGTAATAGTACCTATCTTGTAGGGTTGTGTTTTGAAGGATTTGATAAAATAATACATGTAAATATTTGTACTATACCTGAACACAAAATGACTATGTATTGGCTTTTAAGTAGCATAATCTATTGCTATTATTGATGTTAATTGATGGTTCTAAAAACTGAGTTTTTTCAGCTTTAGATACTTCTCGTAAGTAAAACCAGAAAAAAATCAGGGGCTTCTTTCTCCTCTCCTCCCTTCCTCCTCCCTTCCTTTCCTCCCTTCTCCTTTCCTTTTCTCTCTGGTTCACTATGGAGCCCAGGCAGTTCTCGAACTCGTGATGTTCCTCTTTCAACCTCCCAAGAGCTTGGATGACAGACATGCATCATCACACTGGGCTTTAGGAGTTATTTTCATCTTTTCCTGAATGTAGTAGTTTACACTATTAGCAGCTACCATAAAATAATCCTGTTTCTTCTTCCTAGGTAATTTTAATGATCTGAAATGTTCTGAACAACCTGACAGGGTATTTTTACTGGAACTCTCAGTCTGAACACTGTCTGAGTGGCCATTGTTATGTGTGTGGAGCCCTTTTACACGCAGTGGTCTTCCTGCTTCCTTGGTTTCCTTGGAGATACTATCAGCAAGGGGACTGGCTTAGTGGATTTCAGTTGGTGGTCTTCCTCTATGCATTCGACAGCACCTTCACGTGGGTGCAGCAAGTCCAGTGGCACCTGCTTGCAGGGACGGTCCCCCGGTCTGACAGCAGGCTGCAGGTGCTCAGAATGAACCAGTTGGCATCCCTGGTTGGCTCCACCAGCATCCTCTTCTGTGGCCTCATCTCTCACAACATGGAAATCCTCTCCAGTTTTCAGACCACCACCATTGTCATTGCTTTCCTTGTGGCTGCCAGCCTTCACATTGGCATGTCTCATATGAGACATTGCGATTCTGAAAGAAGCCTGAAGGAAAACTTCCTCTCAGAGAGTGAACAGGAGCTGGCCTGGATCTCTGCTGCTGTCTTACTGATGAGACAAATCTTGTCCCAGAGGAACTTTTACCTTTTCCTTGTCATCAATGTCTTCCAAGTCTTCCAGTTGACCTTCTTCAGTAACTTCATGATGATCTTTGCAGATAATCTCATCCCAAGAGAGGCTCTCTCTTCCTCTATATGGAGTGTCGTGTATGGGGCAAGATCTGCCCTCAGGTAGGTGAAGATCCTCTATGTGGTTTCTGAGATTTAACTCTTAGATGGCTGAGCTCAGAAACATGGCTAAGCGAGTAATGTGAATAAATGGCACACGTTTATTAACAAGCCCTCAGAGTCCAAGCCCAGACGTACAAGATTTGGTAGAAACAGTGGAAAAACAAGATGAAAAGAAAACAAGGAAAGAGCCCGATGAGAGCCAGGCAGAGTGATTTAAAAAGAGATTTATGTGTCTGAGTGCTATGCCTGCGTGTATGTATATGTACCATGTGTGTACCTAGTACCCAAGGAAGCCAGAAGAGGTGATGGATCCCCTGGAACTGGGGATACAGGCAGCTGAACTGAACCCGGTTCCTCTGTAAGTGCAGCCAGTGCTCTTAACCACTAAGCCACCTCTCCAACCCTACAGCATGATTAAAAAAAATTATGCCGGGCGTGGTGGTGCACGCCTTTAATCCCAGCACTCCGGAGGCAGAGGCAGGCGGATCTCTGTGAGTTCAAGGCCAGCCTGGTCTACATAGTGAGTTCCAGGACAGCTGGGACTACAGGGAGACCCTGTCTCAAAAAGAAGAAAATTTATAATTGCATTTATTGATTCATTGTGTGTATGTGTATATGTGAGTGTATGTGCATGTATGTGCCAGCACACACCTGTGGAGGTCAGAGAACAACTTACAGGAGTCTTCTCTCTCCTTCTTCCATGTCGGCTCTGGGAATTGAACTCAGATTGTTAGGTTCGGCAGCAAGGCTACTGAGCCATCTTGCTGGCCCAATATTTTAAACATTTTAGCTTTGAATGTTGTTTCCCTGGGCTTTCTCAAGCATCCACAGAGCTGTGGAAGGAAAGGAGTGGCTTCCTTTGAATTTCTAGTTAGGCTATATTCAGGCATTTACAAGTTCTGTGACTGTTTTATGGAAGAAGTCTCAGAAGGGGAAATAGAGGCAGGACAGAACGACACGGAAAACTGAGGCTACCTGGGAAGGGAAAGGAGCCCCTTAGTCCTGCTGGCTGAGAGTCAAGAATTCTTTTTTTTCCCATCTTTTTGAGACAGGGTCTCCCTGTAGCCCCAGCTGGCCTGGAACCCATTATGTAGACCAGGCTGGCCTCGAACTCACAAAGATCCACCTGCCTCTGCCTCCCAAGTGCTGGGATTAAAGGCGTGTGCCACCATGGTTGGTGAGAATCAAGAACTCCTTTTTGGTAAGTGCACCCATGTCGTGCAATGCCTGAGGAGGACAAAGAGGCTGTTGGATCCCTTGGAACTGGAGTTACGGACAGTTGTTAGCTGCTATGTGGGTGCTGGGATTCGAACCCAGGTCTTCTGCAAGAACAATGTTCTTAACTGCTGAGCTGTCTTTCTGGCCCCTCTTTTGACCTTTTTACCCATGTTTTTATCTTAGCATCTCAAAACCCACCTTGTAATCTTACTTAATAAACATTTTTTACTTTTTTTTTTCTTTCTCTTTGAGACAGTGTCTCACTTTACAGCCCAGGCTGTCCTCATACTTATGGCAGTCCCCACCTGCGTTGGCCTCTCAGGTGCAGGAATTATAGATGTGAGTCACCATTTCAAACTTAAGATTTTTGAACCCTTTCAGCAATATAACTGCAAAAACACCAAAAAAAAAAATGGATACATAGCTGTCATTAAGACTCTCATGCGTAGGTGAGCATGATAATTCACTCTTATAATCCCAGCGCTCGGGAGCGGTGAGGGGGTGGGGGTGGGGGGTGGTGGTGGCTGAGGTAGGAGGACTGTTAACAAACTCAAGGCCAGTCAGGGCCAAGGTTGGATAGAATGGTCCAGGCCAGCAGGAACTTAATGAAAACAAACCAAACAAACTCAACAAAAGATACAACAAAAAGACATATTTATTGGTTTTGAGACAGGGTCTCACTATGTAGCCATGGCTGGCCTGGAACGTGCTGTGTAGTCCAGGCTGGCCTAGAACTCAGAGAGATCTGCTGTTTCTGCCTCTGAGGTACTGAGATTAAAGGTGTGTGCCACTAGGCCCAGCCAAAAAGAGACACTTAAATGTGACTCTCTTGAGATGCCCATGCCCATTCTTCTCTCCTCTCCTCCCCTCCCCTCCCCTCTGCTCTCCTCCACCTCCTGAGATTATAGGCATTGACCACTATGCCCAGCTTTTCCTTTCCTCTTTTTTAAAAAAAATATTTTATTTATTATTTTTATTTTGTGTATGAGTATATTACCTATACATATGTAAGTACATCCATGTTGTGCAATGCCTGCGGAGATCAGAAGAGGGTGTTGGATCCCCTGGAACTGGAGTTACAGATGGTTGTTAGCTGCCATCTGGGTCCTGGGAACCAAACCCAGGTCTCTGCAAGAGCAGCTAGTGCTCTTAATTGCTGAGCTATCTCTCTAGCGCCCCCCTTTCCTCTCCTAATGTCTGTGCTTATAAATAAAACCATTTCTTAGTAAACTCCAACTTTGATTTAAACAAAACAAAACAAAAACCCCACTAGTCAACTTGATTAAGACTTCATGGAGCAAAGTTTCAAAACCCTTGGCTAAAAGCCTGAGTCCTGGAATTCCAGAATATCATTAAAATTCCGCAGTCATGACTCTTATGGAGCGTGGCATGTTCTTTGTCATACCACTTAGAGAGCTGACATATTACTAATTTAAACTAATACATCTCCTAAAACTATGACCTAACCTAGCCTGTGATATGAGTTTCTCAATAATAAGTAAAATCTGGTACTTAGACTCTTCAGGGAATAAGGGATGAATTAGTCTACATAGACTAGTGTATTAATTCCTTTTCTTGGCAATGACAGAATGTCTGACATAACAACTTAAAGAAAGATGAGTTTCTTTTGGCTCACAGTTTTAGAGGGTTCAGTTTGCAGTTGCTTGACCCCATGCACTTGGTTCTCGCATCCTGATGGCAGGCATATGTGGTGAAGTCTGCTCTTCATTCTAGCAGACAGGAAACAGAGCACTCTTTGGCTCTTTCCTTCCCCCCTTAGTGTTCCATCCAGGTGTTCAGCCCATTGCATGGTGCTGACTACAGCAGGGAAAATCTTCTCCCAGATTCCCAGACATACCCAGAGGTGTGCCTCACCAGTATCTTAGGTGATTCTGAGTCCAGGCTGTGCTTGCACACTAATCCTGTTGCCTCTGCCTCTCAAGGTCTGGGATTATAGGCAGGAGCCATTCTGCCCATCTTTGTTTTCAGTCATTAGTAACCCAATACCACACCAAGCATATTCAAAAGAAAAGAGGTTTAGGTCTGGGGATGTAGCTCAGTGTTCGAGTACATGCCTAGCAAGTACTCGTCCCATTCCCAGCACTGAAGAAAGAGGAAAAAAGAAAAAGTTTATTTTGCTCACGGTTCCAAAGTAAGACCTGCATTTTTCAATGGTCTTGTTGGTAGAGTTCTAAAGCAGCGCAGGGTATCGAAAGACAGGAGACAGGGAGCCTGAATGTATACATGCAAATTCTGGCCTCTGCGCTTAGAAAGCCATGAGGACTCAATTGCAGAAGTTCCAACCTGATGACTCTGTCTAATCCTAGTTACCCAAAACACCCATTGTTGGATCACATTTCCATCCTTAAACCTCAACATGAGATTCAGAGGGAGAATATACTATACTCAAACTGTGGCACATCCCTTTTATGACTGAATGAAATTCCATTGTATCAGCTTACCTATTTTGTTCATTCATTAGCTGATCAGTGTATTATTTATTTTCACTTTTTAAAAGACATTTATCTGTTCGCCGGGCATGGTGACGCACGCCTTTAATCCCAGCACTAAGGAGGCAGAGGCAGGAGAATCTCTGTTGAGTTCAAGGCCAGACTGGTCTACATAGTGAGTTCCAGGACAGCTGGGGCTATAGGGAGACCCTGTCTCAAAAAAAAAAAAGACAAAAAAACATTTATCAGCTGGGCATGGTGGCGCACACCTGTACTCCCAGCACTTGGGAGGCAGAGGCAGTTGGATCTCTGTGAGTTCAAGGCCTGGCCTGAAACAGTGAGTTCCAGGCCAGCTGGGGCTACAGGGAGACCCTGTCTCAAAAAGACCAAAAAAACAACCCCCCCACCATTTATCTGTTCATCTATTTTGTGTGCCTATGTGTGGGCATGGGCATGCCATGGCACATGTGTGGAAGTCAGAGGATAACTTGTAACAATTGGCTCTTTCCTTCTACCATGTGGGTTCTGGAGATTGAACTCCGGTCATCAGTCTTGGCAGCAAGTGCTTTTACCCTCTGAGCCATCTCTCTAGCCCCTTATTTCCATTTTAGTAATATTGCTATGAACAGTAATGTTTTTACATGGACATACATTTTCATTTTTCTGGTTATATATCTAGGGAGAGGATAACTGTGTCATACAGTAAAGCTGTGTTTTACATTTTGAGATACTGAAAGTTTTCCAAAGTGGCTGTAAAATTTATGTTTCTGCTAATAGTGCATAGTGGTTCCAGTTTCTCCAAACCTTCACCAGTACCTGTTATTACCAGTTTTCTTTCTTATAGCTATCTTCGTGTATATAAATGAACATCATACTTAGGGCTTGCATTTCCTTGATGTGTGTGAAATGACTTTTTATGTTCTTTGGAAAAATATCTATTTAGCTTATTTGCCTAGTTTTAAAAAATAAGAATATTATTTTAAATTATGTGTGTGTGCGTGTGTGTGTCTTTGTCTGTGTGTATGTGTCTGTGTGTGAATATGTGCACGTGAGCACAGGTGCTCATGGAAGCCAGAGGCATTGGATTCCTCTATTACAGGCAGTTGTGAGCCGTCTGATGTGGATGTTGGGACTCAAACTCAGGTCCTTTAAAAGAGCAGAATATACTCTTTTTAAAAAATATTATTTTTATTTTATGTGTATGAGTGTATTGCCTGCATATGTGTAAGTGCACTCATGTCATGCAAAGCCTATGGAAGTCAAAAGAGGGCATTGGATCTTCTGGAACTGGAGTTATGAACAGTTGTTAGCCGGCCATGTGGGTGCTGGGAC